ACAACTGAAAAATGAATAAAAGCATGCATATATATATATATAAGAAAGGATTCATGATGCCATTAGTTAAGTTACTTATAGGAAGAACATTGTACACATATGAATAAGCTTAACAAAAGAAGAAAAAGAATAATCAGTAATAATGATAATAATAATAATAGTAATATTAGAAATAACTGTAATCATAATACCTTATAAATAATAATAGGAATGAATACCAAAATAATAGATCAATATATAACATGCACAATTTATAACAGTTTAATTTAATAATTGTCATTCATATTCTGCTTATTCACTGTAAGTTACCATGGTAATTCCTCTTTGAAGATATTGATTGAAGATATATAGGCTTGCACCAAATAATATAGCAAAATCATTATAATGGTGTCACTGAACTCCTATTAAAAATAAAAAATAGAATTCAAGTGATAAAGTTACATTTTCGTTAAAATGACCTTATTTGTTCATCCTAGCATAGCTAATACGTATATAAATTTATTGTTCAAGTGTAAAAGTTTTTTATAGATGAATATCCATGAATGATGGTCCTTACATAGATATTTATGGTCCTTATCGGGTCCGCATCGGCCCGTCCGTCCGTCCCTTTCGGGTCCGTGCGCATCCGTCCGTCCGTCCGCTTTTGAGACCCTACCATCCACTTCCTACAAACAAACCACTCACTTCGCGGCGTGACTGCTGCTGCTAGACTATTTCAAGCTGGTGTTGATGAACAATTAATCATGAAAAGAACAGGTCACAGAAGCACGGATGGTGTACAAATTTATAAGCGCATTTCAGATCAACAAAATGCCGGAAGACGTTTCCTCAATAATATTATTATTACAAACAAAAACAGCAGTAGCTAGTGACGATATACCAATTCACCTCATCCTCCAAAAGCACAAAACGTATCTCTAGATGAAGACAGACACTTCAGCTTTAATAACTGCACAAACATACACATAACAATTCAAAAATAACTTACTATTATTGGCTTTATTGCTGTCATCATTTTTATTCCTAAAATTTCCCAAACTTTGGCAGAAGTACCCCGGTATCTAAATAATTTCCCAGAGGTTTCTAAATATTTTCCCGGGGTATTATAAGTGATTTAGACACCTCATATAATGCAATCTGATTGGTCAATTCAAAACAAGCATGGTAGAACTATGTGTTAATTGGAATTGGGGGTGTGATGAGCTAGGAGGAGGAGGTAGGCTAGGTCCGGCCCTCCTGGCGAAGATGTCAGCTGAGAAGAAGCGGCTCGCCTTCTTTATACTGTCCTCAGCAGCCTTTGCGCTTCTGATACTGCTGTCTTATATGCTTTATAACAGTACAGAGAGGGTAGTTATGGTAAGAGCTTGTTCGCTAGTCTTTATAATCACAAGATTTAGTAAAATCTATACTTTTCATTTTTAAAATGCAGGATTCTTTACAGAATAAGATACAGATCCCTTTCCAAAGACATATTATGCTGCCGGTATTTTTCCAAGGCCAATTCGCCCAAAAAACAGCTATTCAGGTATCTTTAATAATGATAGTCTGGCTAGCTTGCCACCAGACTGCGGTAGGACAACTCACACCGAACCAGTCATAGATTGGATTTGAGTGTCTACTAACTAGTGTATACATGTAATCTCAAGGTAGGGCCATACATACCCAAAAAAGTGTGCTGTGTTTAATATTTTGACTCCATATTAAAATTGAAGCTTTAATTCAGTGTTGGTGTGGGCATAGATTAATATTAGAGTAAATGAAAGGGATTGGAAACGGGGGCGTAGGCTGGTTGATGTTGCTATTGGTTACCGGCCCAATACCTGGTTGATTTCCCATCTCCTCCATTAGTGAGGCTGTACTGCAAGGACTTCGAAGGATATTTATGGAGATCCAAGAGGACGCTTACTTATGATATACCTACCGTTCCATATAGAAAGTGTTGGACTACCTGCAGCAAGGTTTTTACTTCTACAACGCTATTTTGCAACGAGTTATAGGTACAACAAAATTTTTTCACTTTTCACCCTTTTTCTGTTGTAACAAACTCATGCTTCATGGATTCTAACCCTAACTAGTATCATTCGATATGCAAATGGAAACTCTTTCATATGATTATAAAGATATTGCATTTTACTTTAGCTTGTTTTCAAAAAAGGGATTATAATGACAAAAAATACATTTTATGGTTTTAAAAGTGCCATTACATTAATATGGTAAAATTATCCGCACAATAGAAAACAGAATTATAAAGAGGAAACATTAGGCTTCTTGATGCATTAATTTCACTTGCATAGGAACACTTGTTTGCGAGATATTGCTCCTAAAAGAAAGAAAATCAAGGGTAAAATGTGACAAAAAATTTCAACGAGCCTCTGTCAGCCTAGCAGCAATACAAATGAATGGAGGTTGGGCTACGCCCACGCTTCCATTTCCAATCCCTTTCATTTACTCTAATATCTATGGTGTGGGTGTAAATTAAAACTTTTATTATTATTATTATTATTATTATTTGTAAAGTTTATGCAAGCTGTCCATACCATAGGAACTTTTTATAAATTTTGTGGATTTTGCAAATTTTTCCTGAAAACGCAAATATTGTGGCCTCGAATAATAATAGGGGTATGTGGTAATGTGGGAGTTTTTATCATAGGATGGCCTTTTTGAACCATTTTCAGCTATTATTGGATGTCAGCTAATAGGCTTGATGTTTTTTGGCAATTTCCAAACTATACTGGTCCTTTGTGAAGTGATGTACCCCAAGGAGCAATTGTGTCAGCTAAAAAGGTGTTAGGGAAATTTGCGAAATTTACTTTCGCAAAAAAGGGAACTCAAAATCTGTAGCCCTCGAGAAAAGAGCGCCCTACTGTATATTTTCATTTACAAAACTGCCTATTGTACTGAATTACAAATATGATACAAGGCCAGCGTAATGTCATGAGTAATTTAACCTTTGGATGCATGCATGCCTTGCACTAAAATAGAACCAAATCCTATTCCAGCATCAATATAACATCAGAACTAGCGTAAACCAGAAATTGCAAGAATACAACAAGAGTTGTAGGGTTAGGTAGCTGTTGCTTCTTTATAAGTGCATGCAGCTCAAGTTTTCAATTTCAATTTTCAGTCTTTGTTGCTATCGTACTCCTAGTCTCCTATAACTGCTACTGTTTTTTTCAAGTGTGTTGTGTCCAGGGGCGTCCCCAGGGGGGCTAAAAGGGGCTTGAGCACCCCCCCTCATGGCTGGGATCAGAAAATTTTTTAAGCACTGGTGTCTCATATCACTGCTAAGCGTCTTAAGAAAGTTATATAACACACTTGACAATCATTTCAGCTTTAATTCCAGCATTTTCCAGTGCTTTAAAGGGCAATAGAAAGCGCCAGCATGCCTGAAATTACCGTGACCCCACTTAATATTGGTGAATAATCTTTGAAAACAGTGGAAAACAATATTTTAGCACTGTAAAAGGGGTGCGGCTAAAATCGCAGTGGACTTTGCATGCCATTAGCACCCTCCTCTTTCAATTCCTGGGTACACCTCTGGTGTCTATTGCATTTGCATTCATGATTGTGTACTTGTACTTGTATTGTCAAAAAACAGATCAGATATGTACTTGTATCACTTAGCAAATTTTTGTGTATGTACATTTACTTATTGCTTCCCAAATTTGTATATATTTTGGTAATTTTTAAATTTATTTTTCATGTATCCTGTGCTTAAAATGTTGAATTATTGGAAGGCCAATGTCTTTGTCACGTTTCTTATTGTTTTATCATCTGCTATTGCTATGAAAATGTTCTTATGTTAACTATGACATTATAAGACATCATTGTTGCAGTTAACTTTGGTATGCCATTGGATTTATAGGAGAACCCAATTCTTAGGGTTCCCAAGGGCTGAGAGACCCAAGAACTGAGATCCTGAAGTGGCACTGGGCTGTGAAAATTTTATCCCTCTCCCACATTCCTATAGAAGTTATTCCAGTTCTTCTTATCCTAAACTGGGACATAGTATACGTTAGTAATACATAATACTTACTATGCCAAATGCCAATAGTAGTTTAGCATAAATGTGTACTCCTTTGGATGTATATGCATACCAGGGTTGGGGTCAATTACTGGCAATAAGATTATTTTTTTATTTCCCCATCCCAGATGCATACAAACTGCACAAACAACAGGCTATTATACTATATCCCTGTTGAGTTTGGAACAAGAAAAACTGGAATAACTTTTATAGGAATGGGAGATAAGGATAAAACTTTCACAGCTTCCTAGTCGCCAAAGTCTATCAAAATCTGTGAAATCTTGGGTCTCTAGCAATTGGAAACCCTGAGAATCAGGTTCTCCTCATTTTGTCTTTTTGTGACATAGCTACATTTTTCAAATTCTATGCAGTTGCTTCTACTTCTGTCCCAAACTCAGTTGATATTCAACTGAGTAAACATTCATCAGCAAACCATTGTTAATTCACCTGCTGCATGACACTATCATTAATGCAGGATCATTTATATTTATATTATGTTCATTATAGGATTCCTTTCTTTTTCATCCTTCAGAGGACCTCAGCAATCTGTGGGTAAAAGTGAACGATAAGATTTTGGTAAGTAATCACAATAGCACAGCAAATATGGTAGAAAATTATAATCAAATCTGCTGTATCGACACTCTAAAATAAGGACACCTCATTTGGGTCCTAAGGTATCCATAATTCCAAAATAAACTGGTTTCTTTTTTATTATTGGCAAAATTTGGCCAAAGTCCCTGCATGGACTTTTGTCAAATTTTTGAGCAATTTACAATTTTAAAAAATCTAAATTTGATCTAAGTTTGGCATGTACAGGTTGTACATGTACAGGGACTTTGACCTGATTTTTGAGTAACTTTGAAAATTCACAAAAGATCCAATTTTGATCAGAATCAGCTCAAACTTTTTGACACAGCATAAGTATCAAAAAATGGACGTTTCTCTCCTTTTTATTTTTGGTTAAGTTTGGCCAAAGTAGGATCTTTGGCCTAATATGAAATTGAATAGATTTAAATTAAAGTCTAGGATTAGTAATTGTGTGAATATATTAATTACATGTACCAATACTGTTATTGTTCAGATTACAATTGCTACACTAACATTAAATTAATTGAAACCTATTTCTACTTTCTACAGAACATACCGGTAAGTAGATGTGTAGATTTAATCTATTGCATTTATTTTTAGATGAGACGTTTAGGTTTTCATGACACTAGGAACTCCTCTTATCCCAGTGTAGTATTCAACTGTATGTATGATGACAGACCTGAACTGCCACACTTAAGAAAACTGTATAGTCTTCTAACTTTTACAAATGGATTAGCTGCTTGTTATCCACTAGAATACTGGGCATCCTGTGGTGGTCATCCAGCAGCCAGGAACAGGTCTGTAGAAATATATTACAATTATATACTACGAACTGAGAGTAGTATACCCGAGCCACCTCTACATGGTCAGATCTCCTTTGATCCAGAGTGTCGCTCGCTATCCAAAACTATCCCAATAAAGGACAATACAACGAATAAGAATTACACATATGCAGTCTGCCTTCACAAGAGTATATATAATCTAACTGAGCCTGAAATGTTAGTCCATTGGGTTGAGCTCAATTTGGCACTAGGAGTGGAATTTATGACAATATATCTTCAAAACGGGTACATTCCTGAGTCATACTATAAACTAATGATACCTTACATTAAGAGAGGAATAGTTGAAGTACTGGACTGGGGTCTAAGACCACCAGTCATTCCTGGATACACTAAATTCTGGGGACAGACTGCAGTCATTAATGAGTGTCTCTACAGGAACATGTATAGGGTCAAATACTTAGGATTATACGACATAGATGAATTTATTATTCCTCAAAAACTAAAAACCATTCCAGAACTTCTTAAAGAAGTTGAAGCAAATTCCATTGAAGCTACTGCATCATCTTCCTATGTAGCCAGAAACGTTTTCTATTATGACAGACAAAAAGCACTTCCTGAACTTAAACAACAATATGCCAATGACACTATTGCCCAGTGCCCTGGAATGAAACTACCAAGATATTATACATTCACTGTCAGAAATGATTTTGATCATCTCCAACATCGCTATAACAAGATCATCATCAAGACAGCTGCAGTTATTGCAGTCTGGACGCACTGGACTCGAAAATGGATGAACGGATATACAGGAGAGTACCATTTGTCCACAGACGATGCTCTTGTTCAGCATTACAGGATACCTGATAAGTATCCGCTGACAAACTTTAATGTGACGACATTTAGCATGAGTCGATACTTCAATGAGACCCTCAAAGGGATAATAAGAAATATTTGCACTTTATAGTATTATTTTTTTTAATATTAATATTGCAGACTGAATTGTTCCCTTGCACCCATCAAACCGCCATAAAATTGCATTCAGTTTTCACGGTCCAACTCTAAAATATACTAGTACAACAATTTTAAAAGACTCACATAAAAACTTTAACCTAAAAGTATTTAATGCTTGAAACTAGAGCCATATATAAGCTTCAGTCATGCCTCTGACAACTATTATCATAAGGTAATTGTGAAGCCTACTCCAGCAATGGGAGTGCAGACTCACTGAGTCAAGAAGTACATGGATGGCTACACTAAAAAGTTTTATTTCTCGACTGAGGATGCTCTCATACATCACTATCGCGTTCCAGACATGTAGACTATCCTTTGACAAACTTACTGAAAAGACTTTAATATCATGAGCCACTATTTAGTGAAACGCCATAATTATAGCTAAGAATTTATGTCGATAATATAATTTATGAATCACATTATGGGCTATTCAACCAACAGTGTTATGTTCATTATAAAAATTATGCGGTCACGTGTGTAAATCGGGTGTAAACATAGCTTTAGCCATAGATCTTTAGCAGGGAGCTAACTGAGATGTCAACAGGGAAGAAGCAGCTTGCCTTCTTTATATTGTTCTCAGCAGTCTTTGCACTTCTGATACTGCTGTCCTATAAGCTCTGTAACAGTACAGAGATGGTACCTATGGTAAGACCTTGTTCACTAGTCGTTATATATAGACTATATATAATCACAAGATTTTAGTAAAATTCATATAATTTTTTTTATGCAGGACTTTTTACAAGAAAAAAATGCAGATGTCTTTCCAAAGACATATGTTGCCGGTGTCTTTCCGAGGCAAAGTCACCAAAAGACCAGCTACTCAGGATCAGGTATGACAATATAGATACAGTATCTATGGGAGGCCGTGTGGGATGACACATAGATTTAATACACAAACCTGTGTATTAAATCTATGGATGACATGAGATCCCATGATCAGTACTCACTATAAGTGAATCATTTGCGGTAACCACCCACGATTAAAATTACTGATGGTTGCAGATCAAAGCCCAATTATCACAATTCATTTGAGCATTTGTGTCTATAATGTCAAGACCACGGGCCATTTCAGTATTCTTACTAGAGTCTATGTATCATATAATACCACCCTAAATAATTATCCACTCTTGATAATACCAAGGCACAAACATGCCCAAAAGAAATCTCTGTGGTATTGTTGTAATTAAATTCAGTTTTGTGTGGGTGTAAATTAGCCATAATAATATTTTTTACCAACTGACATATTTTCATTTACAAAACTGCCTAGTGTACATGTACGTACATTGTATGTTTGTTGCCTGAATCATTCAGTGAAGTCAATTTATAATCAAAAGCATGACTGATGTGACCTTTTGATGCATGCTTTGCACTAATATGGAACCAAATCATATTCCAGCATCAATGTATATGTCAGGACTAGTGTAAACCAGAGACTAAGTGCAGCTCAAATTTCCAATTTCACTTTTCAGTCTTTGTTGCTGTTATACTCCTAGTCTCCTATAACTGCTACTGTTGTTTCAAGTGTGTTGTGTCTACCCATTTATATTCCTTGTTCTATTTTCATAACAACAATGTGATTGTACCTCAGAACAGTTGAATTTATTTTGCAATTTAAAAAGATTGCCTGGCATAATTTTGTACTCATGTTGTAAATCAATTTAAAATGACGTGTTCTGCATTGCTGTGTAAACCCAGCCATAAAAGTTATAGACAGTAAGAGCTGAATTCATTGCAATGGTCAAAATGTAAACCACTGACTTGTGTCTCATTAAAAATTGACAGTTTACATGCACCTGCATCACAACTATCTGTAAGCAATCTTCAATGTGGTCATATTATGTTCATTATAGGATTGCTTTCTTCTTTATCCTTCAGAAGACCTTAGCAATCTGTGGGTAAATCTGAACAATAAGATTGTGGTAAGTAATCACAGTATATTACAGCAAAAATTACAATCAAACATGCTGTATTGACTCTCTAAAATAAGGACACCTCATTTGGATCCCAAGTACCTCAAAATTCCAAAATTGACTGTATTGTGAAATTTTTATTTTATTAACATCAGGAGTAGTGAATAAGTGATTGAGATCCAAAAGCATCATAATTATAATGATACCAATTCAATATCAGAAAAATTATAAAAATGGAGAATTCTCTCCTTTTCATTTTCGGTTAAATTTGGCCAGAGTAGTCGGGATCTTTAAATTAAAGTCTATTAGGATTGGTAAATTGTATGAATGTGTTAGTAACATGTACCAATGCTATTATTGTTCAGATTACAATTGATGTACTATTTTTTGAAATCCAATTTTCAGCTTTAACTTTCTACACAAAATAAGTAGATGTATATTTTTATTGCTTTTATTTTTAGATGAGACGTTTAGGTTTTCATGACACTAGGAACTCCTCTTATCCCAGTGTAGTATTCAACTGTATGTATGATGACAGATCAGAATTGCCACACTTAAGAAAACTGTATAGTCTTCTAACTTTTAGGAACAGATCAACTGCTTGTTATCCACTAGAATACTGGGCATCCTGTGGTGGTCATCCAGCAGCCAGGAACAGATCTTTAGAAATATATTAAAATTATATACTACGAACTGAGAGTAGTGTACCCGAGCCACCTTTACATGATCAGATCTCCTTTGATCCAGACTGTCACTCGCTATCCAAAACTATCCCAATAAAGGACAATACAACTGATCGGAAATACACTTACGGTGTCTGCCTTCACAAGAGTATATATAATTTAACTAAGCCTGAAATGTTAGTCCATTGGGTTGAGCTCAATTTGGCACTAGGAGTGGAATTTATGACAATATATCTTCAAAACGGGTTCATTCCCGAGTCATACTATACACTAATGATACCTTACATTAAGAGAGGAATAGTTGAAGTACTGGACTGGGGTCTAAGACCACCAGTCAAAATTCTGGGGGCAGACTGCAGTCATCAATGAGTGTCTCTACAGGAACATGTATAGGGTCAAATACTTAGGATTATACGACATAGATGAATTTATTATCCCTCAAAAACTAAAAACTGTTCCAGAACTTCTTAAAGAAGTTGAAGCAAATTCCACAAAAGCTACTGCATCATCTTCCTATGTAGCCAGGAACGTTTTCTATTATGACAGACAAAAAGCACTTCCTGAACTGAAACAACGATATGCCAATGACACTATCGCCCAGACGGCCCAGTGCCCTGGAATGAAACTACCAAGATATTATACATTTACGGTCAGAAATGATTTTGATCATTTCCAACATCGCTATAACAAGATCATCATCAAGACTGCTGCAGTTATTGCAGTCTGGACGCACTGGACTCAAAAATGGATGAACGGATATACAGGAGAGTACCATTTGTCCACAAACGATGCTCTTGTTCAGCATTACAGGATACCTGATAAGTATCCGCTGACAAACTTTATTGTGACGACATTTAGTATGAGCAGATACTTCAATGAGACCCTCAAAGGAATAATAAGAAATGTTTGCACTTTGAAATAATTATTTTGTTTTTTAAATATTATTTACTATAAAAACTTTAAACATATTTTATATATCAACTGGTATTAATCATTGGCACTGTCGTGAGACTTGTGGTCCAGGACTACATGTACGTAGACATCCACAACAGAGAATGAGGTTTTAGATTGTGAAATTTAGTATCAAAATGCAGTTAGACTAACTTTATTCTTTTACTGTTAGTCGACTATGTAGTTAATTTTGCTTTGCTTGGATCATCACTATTATTATTATTATAAAAAGTACCATAATTAGAAATAAAACAGGTTAAAACAAGTTAAAATGCATACACTTAGACTAAATCTAGAAAAATATAGAATTTAAGATGGAAAGAAAAGTTAAAATAATTTCAGTGGGTTAGGAGTGACTGTCCGCCGTGTTGGGTGGCAAGAATGTACATGGAATGAGGGTACGGTAACAAGTAAAAACAACACCATAGATATTATAGATATTATGATATCATAGATATTATGACCGGCTTAGACTATTCTATTTGCCAGTGACTCGAAATCACTTTCAGATTCTTGCATTACCGTATTTCAATTTTAACAGGCGCGTTGATATTTGAGTAAAGTAAAGTAAAGCATAGATATACAAACACGATATACATGTTTGTATATCTATGGCTTAAACTATGAGCATAATTGGATTTATTTCAAAGCATACTAGCGGGAGAGGATAGTTCGCATTAGCTATTATCGCGGTGAGCCGGGCGAATTGAGATGTCAGCAGATAAGAAGCAGGTTGCCCTCTTTATATTGTCCTCAGCAATCTTTACGCTTGTGATACTGCTGCTTTATAACAATACAGAGACACCTATCAAGGTAATACCTTGTTCACTAGTCTTCATAATTAATAATCACAAGATTTTAGTAAAATTTATGATTTTTATGCAGGACTTTTTACAATTGCCTTTCGAAAAAAATATGCTGCAGGTGTTTTTCCAAGACAAAGTCACCCAAAGTCTAGCTACTCAGGTATCAGTAGTGAGATGAAATCACATGAGATTTCACCATAATACAGTTATAGCTCAGCATCATATCTACTGTGATGAGCCCAGTATAGACTCCCTAGCCGAGATATTGTTTATGGTAGAGCCACCCACAATTAAAATTACTGACGGCAAGAAGCTCTCAACATTAAATTAAGGGACCAGCATCAAAGCCCAAGGGAAATGAAGTATTACTGGAAAACTATGTAGCAAGAGTTACCTGGTCTGCTTGTGAGTCTGTAGTACTTGTAGTGCTCAAAAAATGGCCAGGCAGTGTCACCACCTTTGATCTTCCTTTGATCTTGAGGCCTTCTTGCCGTCAGTAATTTGCATTGTGGGTGAATACTGATATGTGAAACAACTATCTATTATGGATGAATATTACTGACATGTTGTACATAGGTTCCATGTACAGAACTACCTAGTGTACATGTACATTGTGTTGTGTTGCATCATTCAGTGAAGTTTTCTTTAACAGTTAAGGCTGGTTTACAATACTGACATTAGGCCTCAGTCAATTAGCATGGCTGATATGACTGGCCTTTTGAATTTTGATGCATGCTTTGCACTAAACTGGAACCAAATCCTTTTCCAGCATCAATGTAATGTCAGGACTAGCATAAACTAGAGATTGAAGTTGTAGGATCAGGTATCTGTTGCTTCCTTATAAGTGCATGCAGCTCAAGTTTTCAATTTCATTTTTCACTCTAAGTTGCTATCATACTCCTAGTCTCCTATAACTCAGTGCTATACTGTTATTTCAAGTGTGTTGTGTCTACCCATTTATTCCTTGTTCTATTTTCATAACAACAGTGTAGATTGTACCTCAGAAGAGTTGAATTTATTTTGCAATGTAAGAAGATTGCCTGGCATAATTTTGTACTCATGTTTAAATCAATTTCATTGCAAAATCAGACTTTGCAAATTTACACTGTAGTAACTATTTAGTCACAGTATAAAATTTGGTACCTGCTGTGTCATAGATATTGTTGTAAATTTCATTGTATAAATTACTGTGATGTGCATGGTAGTTGACACTTTAGTCTTTCAAAATTAAGGTTTGCCAACATTGTATTGCTTGCAATTTGTGGTTACTTTAATGTTGCAAGCAACCTTACTTAGGAATGGACACTGTGATGGCTGCAATTAGTGAACATACATATATACCTGCACCTATACATACCTGCAGCTATATATGGCATCAAAGGCCCGTCACTATGGGGTTTCTGTATATTACATACTTTGTGGCTTCTATGATGTATATCAAGAGTGGATCCATATAGGCTATTTTACATGGCAACAAAAATGATGCAACAAAACCAATGCCCATATCGTCATTTGTGCCTGTTTTATGCTCTGCATGGGTTCAAATTATAGTGTATCATTTTTAAAACAATGCCCTTTGCATTGCTGTGCAAACCCAGCCATAAAAACCATTGACCTGTGTCTCATTACAAATTGATAGTTTACATGCATCTGCATCACAACTATTTGTAAGCAATCATCAATGTGGTCATATTATGTTCATTATAGGATTCCTTTCTTTTTCATCCTTCAGAGGACCTTAGCAATCTGTGGGTAAATGTGAACAGTAAGATTGTGGTAAGTAATCACAGTAGTACAGCAAATCTAGTAGAAAATTAAAATCAATATAATGCTATGTTGACTCTAAAATAAGGACACCTCATTTGGATCCCAAGGTGCCCCAAAATTCCAAAATAGACTGGTTTGACTATAATGAAATTTTTATTTTAACAGCAACATCAGAAGTAGTGAATGGGTGAGTGAGGTCCAAAGCATCATAATTATAATGATACCAATTAAAATTTTTTTTTCAAAATTGGCAAAATTTGGTCAAAGTCCTTGCGGGACTTTTGTTCAATATTTGCAACTTAAAAAACGTAAAAAATCTAAATGTGATTGGAATCAGCTCAAACTTTCTACACAATATAAGTACAAGTATAATATAAGCCCGACAACATCGAAGGATGATGTCATAATTATGATATATGTGCAAATTCTACTCTACATTGTACTTTCAACGTTATTATTTTAAAAATAAGGATCACCTTGCAATGTAGAGTAGAATTTGCGTTAGTAGATTTTCATTTTGTATTTTCATAGGTCGTTTGGAATCCTACTTGTCCTTGTTTCCATTACTTTTTTTACTAATTGAGACAAAGTGAATCCTACTCAATCTTTTTCTTGAAAATTATAAAATATAGTGCAGGGACTTTTACTTGATTCTTGAACAACTTTTAAAATTTGCAAAAAGTCTAAATTGATGATTGATCAGAGTCAGCTCTCATAAAACATGTACATGCATCAGGAAGAATTATTCTAAAAATGGAGGATTTTCTCATTTTTAAGTTTGGTAATCTGTGGCTTGAGACCATGCATAGTACAGGGACTTTCACCTGATTTTTGAGTAACTTTGAAATTCATAAAAAATCCAATTTTTGATTGGAATCAGCTCAAACTTTTACACAACACATGATAGGATGTTAAAATAAATGTTTCTCTCCTTTTCACTTTCAGTTAAATTTGCAATTGGCCAAACAAAGTAGGATCATTGGCCTTATATGGAATTGAATAGATTTAAATTAAAGTCTAGGATTAGTAATTGTGTGAATTATGTTAATTACATGTACCAATACTATTAACGTTCAGATTACAAGACTAACATTAAAAATCTGGTTGTAACTGAAACCATGCAGCTTATAGAACATAAGTAGATGTGTAGATTTAATCTATTGCATTTATTTTTAGATGAGACGTTTAGGTTTTCATGACACTAGGAACTCCTCTTATCCCAGTGTAGTATTCAACTGTATGTATGATGACAGATCAGAATTGCCACACTTAAGAAAACTGTATAGTCTTCTAACTTTTAGGAACAAATCAACTGCTTGTTATCCACTAGAATACTGGGCATCCTGTAGTGGTCATCCATCAGGCAGGAACAGATTTCAAGAAATATACATCAATTATATACTACGAACTGAGAGTAGTGTGCCCGAGCCACCTCTAC